GTATTCACCCAGGTTTAAATAACTACGACATTTTAGAATATTTGAACGCCTGTGTCTATTTATTATATTTTATAAAGATAACTATACTAGTATAAAAGTATATTTATCATAATCACCCGTACGGGGTTTAAAGTACTTAAAAATAGGTTATAATTATAAAATTACCCTACGATCAGGGAGCAGAAAAACGACGACGACGAGCGGCGTTTGTATATTATTTGATCGCTCATATTTTATGCATTTGCTCTCAGAAATAAAATATGTGTCTACTTAGGGGTAGCATATTTTTCATGAAATTACATTTTTATTTGAAGTATAAAAAATAAATTTAATCACCAAAAAAATATGAAACCAAAATTAATTACTTTGAACATCGACGCTTTCGGGCTTCGGCGGAATTGTGTGTGCACTGCGGAATAAATCAGATTTACGCTTAACTTAAGTGAAAATATTGAGATTTATTATGAAAAAAAAAAACCTTACGGATCTCTTCATGTTTCTTGTTCATGTTTGCAGCTTTGCTAACTGAAATTTTAGATCGATTGCGTCTTTGCAACTACTTCGACAATCGCCACGGATTGCATTATAATTTATACTACGTCAACATGATAAAACCATAGATATATAGTATATTACACATTTTTATATCAAGGAGGTCTGTGTTTGAGATTTGATCATTAAGATAATGAAATGAGGTATAAAAATAACCAAAATAGTTTATAATTTTAAAATTTAAATTACAACAATAAATAAAGTACATATTATTTTAATAATTAATAAAGGTGGTATTTAAATATTCGAAGCACAAGCATATTTTTTTATGAGTTATTAAATAAAAATCTTGTTGTAAATAAATGTGATTACTACTTTTTAGATTTAACGTAAATGTATTCAGTGCCTAATGCATCACATTTACTGTATACCGACTATACCAACTATAGTTTGTAAAATTCCAAGTTAAATATTTTCTCTGAGCACTGTCAAGCACGAAATTAATAATTAATATTTTATGTATTCATTTTGAGTGCATTAGTTGTTTAAATTTTAAGCTATTCAAGAATATTTAAAATTTAAAATGTCCCTATTTAATTTCCTATAAATATTCAATAATCAGCAGAGCGACTTTCCCACCTTTATAAAATAATTTGATGTTTGATGTACGACGGCATCACTTTAATTCGCGGTTCGACCTCAAGCAGACGGCATAATAATATTCATATATTACTTAACATTTATATAAACTAAAAATAAAAATTATTGAATTTTGTGGGATATAAGAACTCCCGTGTACTGTACTACTGTAGTATGAATAGTATGTACAACACTATTTATTTATATTTAATTGTATAAATATGTTATTATTCTGCGACCTGGATATGCCGTCGTCGTTTGTGCTATAAGCGTATTTTTTTGTGTTGCGCGCTCGGGAACAAAAAATATGCCCCTACTTCACCCGGGTAGCAAATGGTCTGTGGCAATACATTTTAATTTTGAGACTAAAAAGGTAAATATATGAGCCCCAAAAAAATAAGTGATCAAACTTACGTATACATCGACTCTTCGGGTAATATATAGCTGCAAGGCCATATCTTGAGTTCAGACGCCATATCGAGGAACTTCTTTCTTCAACTAAATCCGAACTGAAAAAATCGAATTTTTTATAAAAATTACTTGAGTAGAATGAAATATGTGAGTAAATGTTTATTGTTGCCTTACACATTTCTTTTTTGTTCAACGAAATTATTAGAATTATGATTCGGCTCCGATGAGTGACGAAGATCGGCTTTTGCCATAGATGATAGATATTATAATTTATAATATAATATGTTGTTATCAGTTTTCGAGTTTTCTTTTGCCATAGATGATTATCAATAAAATAATATATTGATTATACACAGAAAACATTGATAGTGAATAACTTATCACTTACAATTTATATCAACCATGGTAAGAGAACTACACAGTTATATGAAAATACTAGATAGCCGACTTGGAAATGATTTTGAAGCCCACAAAATGGCCGAAATTCTCTTATCTAAGAGGTAAATGTTTACATTTTCAAAAGAGTTAAAGAATAAACTTAGTAAAATATAAATATTGTTGATTAATTATTTCATGCTTGTATATTTTATTTATAGTGCTGAAAAATAGTCCTGACAATATTTTATGAAAAAAATGTAAATAAACCAATAATATTATAAATTCTTTGTTTATATAATATTATAAATTATAATCATATGAACGTCGTTAGGGACTGGGGAGAGTATCGCGTTTACGTGGTACAGTGTACGAATATATGATTATTAAATAAATATAGACGTTCATTTCCCAACATTAATTTCTGATATGGATGGGCTATTACTTGTTTCTTATTTTGTCAAATTCACCTGGTGTAATTAAAAAAAGGTCTAAAAATAAATATCAAAATCTAAACCCCAATATTTTAAATTATTTCAATCAATAATTTTAATTTTAATTTTCAATGAAATGAAATATTTCAAGGAAATAAATTTCATGAAATTTTAAAACCCTAATTATAATATAATATGTTGTTATCAGTTTTCGAGTTTTTGAATTCTTTGGATGACACGGTACATTTTTTATTTCAGATTCCGAAACAGAATATTATTCGGAGTGTTTAAATCTATACAATTTAGAATACGGAACTCTGATTATATAGGCCATTTAGATACATTACTGTCGCGAGCCCATTTTTTTGTCCTGTATCTCACAATATTGTTTTTTGTCTTAACGGTTAAACAATAACTTAATATAAAACTCTAGAAGACTAGAAGTGTCGATACATGAAAAAAATTCAAAATTAGACTTTGAAATGTACAGAAGTAATAACAAAATGGATACTTTAATCGTGAATATAATATTCTCTCTGAGCTCGACATTAATATGTTATTAAACAATATTATTCTATAATAGTGCGCAATCACCGATGTATTTGCTAAAAAATTGTGTGATTAGATTATACTACTACACTATAGTGTAATAAATAATATATATACAGCCGTGTAGGTACTTAACTAAGGCTCTCAAATAAAAGTAAGTGATGGGTTAAAAAACCTTATAAATTATAAGTTAAAAGAAGGTACCATAGGTACCATAATGCCAGCTATACTTTAAGAGGAAGTTTCTTTTCTAATAATTATTATTAAAGTCTTTAAAAACCAGATTGCATTAAAAAATTAACCAGTATTTACCTACTTCAATATTTCATACTATAAGTAGGTATGTGAAATAGATTTTGAAATAAATGTTAATGAAGCGATTAACTAATATGCAAATACTTCAAGATTCATTATTCGATTAAACAAAAAAATGAAGAGTTGTTAATTGTGGTTTTATTCTGATAAATAAAATTATTATAATGGTAGGTAGCCAGGTAGGTATATGATTATATGAGTTCTCAGTTTTATTATTTCTATGTTAATAATAATTTGATGTGTTTACCAATATTTATCAATATATTGTATATATAAGTACCATATTTACTGTTTATATTTAATCCAAATAAAATTTGGCAACTGCAGCTAAATTTGGAAGAAAAGTTAACTACCTAGTTAGTTGTAACTTAGGTATATAGATATTTATTTACTGCCTATATATCTAGTATGTATTTTTTGGTTCATGGTATAAACAATTTAAAGGTTGGTTTGTCCCTAATAAATAATTCTGTCATAACCCCACAGTTGGGTGAACCTATTGTTTTAGGTCGAAACACGAGGAAGAAGGACATAGGGATAATTATATAAGATAATTATAAGATGTAATGATTATCCAGCGCGACGGTAGTGGCGCGAAGCTAAGTAAAAAAAAAAAAACGGAGTAAAAATAGCAAAATAGCCACTAACGTATAATAACAGGACACCGAGTTTTAACATTGAAAAATCGTCCTAATTTATGTCAATTCTTTGCCAACATCTACAGGGCAAACGGCTGAACATATAAAGTAGTATGAGGTATCAATCGATCAGAAATATTGTGCAGGTGGGAACAGAAGAATTCGCTAGCAGATTGGTCTGATAGTTTGTAAGTTATAAGCAAAAATGTTAAAGTACTTTTAAGACCGATTTTGCGTACGGAAGAGTGGGGATAAGCGATGAGTCGATGTACTACGACGATGCACAAACGATATTATTACTCCATGGTGACAGCTGACAATATTGCAAAAACAAACAACAAACCATTTCGTAACTTGCAGTTTGCACTCGATTGTTCGCGACGTGTTCATACTTATATTATTATATTACTGCGAAAAGTAAAAAAAAATTATAATGATAATATTAATTTTTTTAATTATAATTATGGAAAAAAAAATTAGTCAGGAGACAAGCGGTTATTAAAGATTATTATTATTAAATTATTACTATGATTATTATAGAATACAAGATAATTTACACATCAACATTATAAATAGTTGATATCACACCAAAAACACTTCGTTATAACTCCGTGTAAAAAAAAGCTNATATCACACCAAAAACACTTCGTTATAACTCCGTGTAAAAAAAAGCTAAGTTAAAAAAAAAAATTAATAATGATTAAAGCTTTAAAAGACGTGATATAATATGGAAATTAAGTAAAATGACATTTTATAGTATAACAAATACCTATGATGACAAATAAGATAAATTGTAATGTTAAATACTTAGTCAACATATTATGTTTAACTATTTGGCAGGACGTAGAAGTATACTTAAATAAATACAATTAAGTTACCTCTACAGTATTTAAAGTAATTAATAATGTATCAACAATATGTTGACTAAGTATTTAACATTACAATTGATCTTATTTGTCATCATAGGTATTTGTTATATTATAAAATGTCATTTTACTTAATTTCCATATTATATCACGTGTTTTAAAACTTTAATCATTATTAATTATTTTTTTTTAACTTAGCTTTTTTTTTACACGGAGTTATAATGAAGTGTTTTTGGTGTGTATGAATATTCCTTGAGTGGAAAGTCTTAAGTCAAGTTCTATTATGTTGCCTGATATGGTAAAATATTAATAACTTTAAAAAAAGTGTGAATAAGACCACAGGTGACAATAATACCGCGTGGTCTTATTGTTCTTTTCCCATCAACCATACCATAATAATATTGACGCTAATTGATTGACACCATGCAATATCGTGTTTATAACTTTAATATTACCGTAATACATTTTTGGATTCGGAGCGAAGTAAAAGTTTTTTTTTAAATATTACAGTACTTGTATTTATGGAAATTTCCAGGTTTCCTAACCTTCAACGTCTAATGTCTTTTTTGTCGTTTTTTTTTCATCAAAAATTAAAAATATTTTAAACAATTATAACGATTAATACGTGATATTACAATATTATGTGTGTAATTTTTTCCCAATATGTATTTTTAACGGTAGGTATAGTTCTTCAACCCTCGTACTTGATGTAATTGCGAATAAGGCACCTTTCTTTTTGTTGACTTTCCAAATATCTGTACAGTTTTATAAATTGTTGTGAATCCTTTTCAATGTACTAAAACAAACGGCAACAAATTTTATTGGTTTTTAATTTATTGTACTTCTTAGCTAGATAATATTATTATATATTAATACTCGCATTGACGTAATATTGTGTATCATTGTTGTATTTTGTATATAACTACGTTTTTCTTTTGTTCGTAGGTAAATGATAAATTTAAAACAACGATAATTGGATAACAATTTAATGCCAGAAAATAAATATCGTAGGTACACAAATTGAAATAATTCATATTATTATATAATATGTAAAACAGTATTGTCAAATATTTGAGTGCCCAATGCCAGTATTAATCATTTTTATTACCATCGAATATTTATATCATAGTCTACGCGTGTCAATGGATTTGGCTGTTTTGGGCGACTTACGTAAGTATAGGTCTAGACTCCAAAGGCGCCTATACATATTTGGAAATATATCAGGGGGGCAAAACTTCACACGACGGAGCGTCATTCAATCGACTTTTCTCAGCAAATACGCTTATAATACGTGCTCATTTACACTTCACGAGGCATTTTATAATATTGGACACATTTTTTTTTCCGTTTCATTCAATGAGTTTGTATCTAATTATATTTTTTTTCCCATGCAAAAAACAAGGGAAGAGTGGGAACTACTGCTTATCACAATACTGTGCATCGTTTATTATACCTATACATCTAAGATGTGCGAAACTTAACAATAGGCGCGAAAAACGAAACATTTTACTCACTCGGACGGACATTTGGCCGGACTTGCCGATGACCACCGGATACGACGAGAAAACGCCATCGTTGATCTGTCCTGGTTGATATACGGAAATAGTCATGCATACTGTCCTGTCATCGGTGCCCTGATACCAGTCAATTAAGTGATGGCACACGGCTGATATAACGCAATGTCTGTAGGTCGTTGTGGTTTGCATCGCTTCCTACACGTCACACAAGTAATATGACATAATAATTGGGCTTGATCGATTTGACGAAAAATCAATTCGAGATTTTTTTTTGAAAAATCAAAAGTCAAGTCACAATGATTGTGAAAAATGTAAGATTAAAAATTTGGGTGGACAAAAGTTATGAGTCTCATAAGATCTGCAGTACAACTGAAGTGACTGTTGAAATACGCGTTAATCATGTCAACAATACTATTGTTATTATTTTTATTATTATTACAGTGAGACCACAAAAATATAATAATAATTGCATAAGACAATTTTTTTTCAGGTGCGATATGCTTAATATTAACATTGACTAGAAATCAATATTGCACTATAGTGTTCATAAAACCGAAATTGAATCTTTTTTTAAAACAATATAATTTTAGTCTGTCAATGATCGATGTAGTCTTAATACAACTTTGTATAATTACATATTATATCAAATAAACAAAAGGTTCGTACAAACTGGGGTGTGAAATAATTGTCGATCCAATTCGAAGTTAAAAGATCCATGACGTTCTGCGTTTTCACGGTACACTGTAATTCATTTTTTCTCGGTTCAAATTTCGTTTTTTTCTTAGCATCGGCTATGTCCATGAAATTTTTGCCCCAAACGTATACGTCCGATAATTCGTGCACTTCGCACTGTTCCACACGAAGTGTTCATCGGTACATAATTTATTATATATTTTAATGTGTTTAACGCGATCGTTAAATTATGGCTAAAATATCGAAACCCAAAAATGTATTCATAAACAATATCATAGTGCAAAATATTTTTAAATTTCAATAGAAAATAATATATTCTTGAAACTTATCGAAAATATGTCCAATGGACATTGTCCATGACATTGTATGTGAGTAATATCCTTATGTAAAATTGTTTAAAATATTAATATTTTCATCAAAGAATTCGTGGAATTTGGCAATATCTAAATACAAAAGTGTCTAATACGAAGACAAAATATTAAAGAGTTCAAAAATTAATTTGACAATTGACGACGAGACATACCTACATCAAAAATATTACAGTCTTTAACATAAATTGTGGTGCTTATTTTTCCATAGATTAATAAATAGGTAAAATAACTGAGTGTATAACCACAAGTGTCTAGGTATATACTTGTAAACCTGAAGATAGTTTTTGAACACTTTAGAAAAAAATTATTATACAAACCCTTAATTTTGAAAAAAGTAATTGTTTTTGTAATAATATTACAAAATAAATCTTAATTATACTTCGATGCATTTTCTGATTTCTATACCTCGACCAAGACTCACAAGCAGTATTTTCATTTTCAAAAAACAAACACTCCATTCTACGTCGAACACTGAGTAGGTATAAAGGGTTAATAATACCCACAAAATACAATTAACATTTTAAGTATAAAAGATAAGCCTTAATAATATATGTAATATTATGTTTCACCATAGGCACCTATTGTATTTAACCCATTAAATCGTGTTGTTGTTATATTTAATATTTTGAAATATTTTATATTATTCATATTTTCGCTATGCATGTTGTAGTGCTCTGTTAGATTTCACAACGAAATCGTCTACATAATATTTGCATTATAAGAAAACAACTCGTCGACGATGACACCATAGACTCATATAAGCATAGCAATAACAACATTATGTTATTGATGTTATTATAATATATTTCTATCATATCATTATGCAAGCCTGGGCATAAACTAGTTAAAAAGTTAAGTTAATTGTTACTTTTTAACTTAACCTTCTGCAATTTAATTTTCATCAACTTAATTTTTAACCCATCAGTATAAACTGAATCGGTATCTTAACTTGAAGTTACTTTTAATTAAGCAACCTACTTTAGTTTATAAATAATTAAATAATAACTATAATAAAGTTATTATTGATGATGTACATTACATAAACGTTTACTTTTTACTATTTTAAACCATATTACTGTTCATATATTATGGTTTTTTTTTTTTTAATAACTCAAGTTAACTAGTCAATTGTAAGTTTCCACATAATAAGTTAATACAACCCTACCGAGTTAAAAAAAGATAGAATAACTATTAACTGTTAACATTATACTTTTAAAAATGTTTCCTATCAAATTAACTCAATTAAAAATAATCACTAACTTGCCCAGCCCTACAGGCTTATCGTGTTATGACACAATATACACGATCGACTTACGTCAAGTTTTCGTGAGATGAGCCCCAACGCTTTGCTCACGTGATGTCTAGACAAACCGGTAAAGTTGAGCTTGTTCAGGCGTGTAGCGACTTCAGCAAAAATCTGTAACCACGTGTTTGACCACGGTCCCATCATGACGATCCTGGCATCCGAGTTGGCCAGACGATCAAACGATTTAGCCTGTTACCATATATTTTTATCATATTTTAGGTACATCACGCGTTATAATAATATTCGAAACGGTTTTTTTTTTTAGAAATAGTTATAGAGTATAAAATACAGGCTCCTTTTAGGTTTGACCTTTTTGAAAACATGCTCTAAGTCTTGGACGTTTTCGAGAATTTTATGATCCGGCGGGTTCAAATTAGTCATCAACAGGAGGCAGTCGGCCTTCAGGAACGCCTCGAAGCGATCGCCGGTCACGACTAATTCTGCAAACGGGTTTTTTTTATTATTATTATTATGATGATGATGATGATGATGATGATCGTTTAAAGTATAAAAAAATATGAATACTGCAGCTTTCGTGCTGATAGACGAATCCCAGGACCGATAAGAATTATTTATTTATATCTGTATGGTTCCTATGTCGTGGGCATATAGAAAAATCAGGCATTTCACTAAACTCCCAGGCAAATGTTTAAAGAATTTAATTTGTATGCGATTTTACTATTCGTAATTTAATTAAAAATTGTTGATTAAATGAATAGTAAAAATGAAATGTTTTTGCGTTAATTTAAAAATTAAACTATATTTTCCTGTTAATTATTTATTGAAATTATATTATTAATATATAAAATACTTAAGTATATTAAATATAGTCTTAATTAGTCTTAAGACTAAAATTATAAGTGAATAAATTTAATTACTAATTCGGTCGTCCAACTAAATTAAAAATATTTCATATACCTACGTATTATAAATATTAATTAATTAAACATAATTTTTTTTATATAGAATAGCAATAAACAATACATACATTAACATAAATAATCAACAATTGTTTAAAATAATACAAAAAGTTTAATTTTAATTATTTGCCCTATTTGAAATACGTAGGCATTTAATTAAATATTACTTTGCATTTAATTTAATATCTAGGTGAATAGTAAAATCACATAAAAATTGAATTATTGAACTAAATGGCACTAATGGAGTTTGATTTTGTTTTTTGCTAAAAAATGTCATAGGTATGTCGATAACTCAGTGAAAAAACAATATTATTTATTTATATCTAATGGGCACATATGCCAGTAATGTCTTTAAGTGAATGTAAAATGTAATTATTTATGCGATTTTGACGAACTGCACTACATTATGTATAGGTGGGTACCATTCAAGTTTGAGAAACAACAATTTTTTATATGTTCAGCCATTTCTTTTACTTCATCCACGTCCAAAGTTAAAATAAATACGTCCAATTTATTGTCGGCGAACACTTTCCTTTGGAGTATGTTGAATGCCAACTCGATGCTAAGAACATTGCAGTGGTCCACGGAGATCACGACTTTGGTAACGATAACATCCATTATACCTTATAATATAATATTATTGACACAGACCAGTTTTTGAATTTAAAGTTATAAACAGTTTTACGTCGAGTACAAAATATATTGTTTGGAAACACTACTACCACGGAAACAATATATTATTAGGTTCATTCATGAATCGTGATGGATAATACGTAATAATACGAAATTTTGATTTTATTATTTATAATAAATTTTTCTTCAAACGGTTCTAGTCACACCAATATTCGCATATTTATTAATTATTCACGATCGAAATTAATCACATCTTATAGACGCAATGTAGATCATATTTTAACATATCTAAAATAAGTGGCATCGTGAGTGCAACCTCCCAACTCTAGGTACAAGAGATAGATATTCGGCCTAGTTCTTATGGCTTATATAGTGCCGCGCAATAAAAATGTCTTAAAATATGCTCTGAAATAATGGATGGAATAACTTTATTCTAATCCATTTAAAAATAAATTGTGTTTTTTAATTTAACCATCATTATTGTTTTGTTAATTTTATGCGAAAAAAAGAACATTAATAATAGAGCTAAAGTTGTCACTTGCTACATAGTTAATTACATTTTCGGATATTTTTGTTACACCCTAGCTATATATCCATGCGTGTCGGTCAACCGAAATTACATTTTTTAACTATATTCATGTGTACCTACAGATAATTGTTTAGATCAATAACAACTATTCACTGAGTATTCAGTGTATTGTCATAAATCATATTATTTAAAAATTATTCTTCTACAGAAAATGAAATAAAAATTATAATGTAGGTATAGGTAACAAATAATGAAAATAAAAAAAACCTATGTGCGTACGTGATATTTAATTTCTATATAGATAATTATTGTACTAAATTGTATACGAATCACGAGTACTTATGTTTGTTATATTATTTTTACTTTTAATAAACTTAACTATTACCTATACACATAGGCCTCTCAAGAGATATAGTGTTTTTATATAGGTAGGTGAGGTAATAGAGGAAATAATAATCAATTAATAGTAGTAAACATCACTAACTAATTAAATGTATAGCAATATTACTACTGTTAATTATTTCAAACTCTAATAATGATAATGGGAACATAAAGGTATAAAAACATATTAACATTTCGTCAATATACACATGATATGGTATAGGTATAATCAAATTAAATTTTAACTTCGTTTTCGTAATTTGAAAGCTAAGAAACTTTTTTATAGTATAATTAGTTTTTAATGAATAATATTTATAATGCATTATTTTTTGTCTGTCCTAAGTAGATCATAACAAACAATAACAACGCATTATCATGTATTATATTAAATATTGGTCTAATGTAATACACCTATAAAAAAATGTCAATATTATTATTAACAGTTAGAATTCGCAATCGAAATATTTTGTTAATTATTAATATGCATCAATAAATATTCATCATAAAAAGGTTTCCATAGTATACACAATACAGTTTACATATTATGTACAATTTTTTTATGATCTTAAGTATCAGCAACTATGGCCATTAGTATTTTGTAGGGGGGTTACATGGTTAGTTGATAGGAACACGCGTATATGTGAGTTGACGGTTCGTCACTAAAAACCCAGGTGGTCACCCATCCGGGAACTAGTGAAGCCGTCTGATGTTGAACATCAGAACACGTTAGTGACTGTGACAAATTACTGAGCCACACCAGGCCCCATTTTGTGTATTGTGTTAAAATATATAAATATACGTAGGTACGTAATAGTTATATTAGTTATTATCAGGGCTCGGGACTTTATGTGCTTAAAATCTTAAAAATATACGTAAACATATGCACCAAAAAAATATCAAAATATGCGCTTAAATATGCATTTATATTTAATTAAAAAGACGTTAAAAAACATATGTTGTACGTATTACTAAAAATTTATATTTTATACATACTATATTATAAAAAAATTTGTATTTTTTAACACTCCGCATCTTCTTTACCTAGCAATTAAAATTTTTATGTTATAAAAAATAATCATTTTATAATTATATTTTATTTGTATTAGTTTGTGTAATCATTTGCTAGTTTCTTGTATTGCACATTTCCCTCGGTTTAATCATTTTCACATGTTTTACTGTTTGTACCTATATGTTGTATTACACTAGATCGCCGTTCATATCTATTATCTACTTTAAAGTTTAATTTCACATATTTTGCAAAATAAAATTCTTCCATTTGCTAAAAATACATTATCCCCAAATTCCAAAGTGAAACTTCTCAACCGACTAATTTGTGTTTTGTTTTCTTTTGGCATATTATACATTTATACCATAAATACAAGCGCTAATAAATACAAAAAATAACGAATACAGATACGAACACGACAACGATTGACGATACATGCACACGATAACGATCGTAGTCCATCGATCACTATATAGGTACTGACTACTGGCAAACAAAAATACAAAATAATACTATAAAAGACAGATTAAATAAAAATAATATTGTCCTCAGAGCTAAAAATAAAATGGGTTCCCAGTAACGCTATTGATTATCGCCTTATCGCTATTATTGCCGAAAAAATCATGTAGATAAAATTAATTTACGAAAAAATTGATTTAAGAGTAAATAATCAAAAATTATTTTGAAATATGCAATAAAAATCAATAAATCTTAAAAATATGCAAACGGTTAACTTTAAAACTTTAACTCCAAACACCACTACACAAATTTTTACCGGATCAAATTTATAGTATTTATTTCCCGAACAAATATGCAAATGCATAAAGTCCCGAACCCTGGTTATTATAAGTACTCAGGTACATAGTACATATAATTAGGAAACTATAGGTACTTAATCAATAACTCGCATTACACATAATAATTTACTAGTATCATATTTTATTACACTGCAACTGATCTAAATATATTGGTAACACTGATTATAAATAACAATTGAGAAACACATTTCAATCACAGATAACTATGTAAAAAAAAAATTTTATGTAGGTACACAATTTTGTTGTGTGAAGTTTGAACATTAAACGGTGCACTTATATACAAATACATAACGATTTCTCAATCGAATAAGACACGATAAGTCTAAAACATTGTAAGCACACTGTTTTTCAGTAAGCAACCCACATCAAGTGGACAAGGGTACAAGACCCACTCGTAAGTTTCTGCCAATGTCTGTACGTATAAAATATTAATGAAAGATAATAATTGACTGAATATCTTTGAATTTTGTTCTGTATATTTCACTTACCTACCAAAGTACTTTTTTAATGAAAGAGTATACATTTTTTTTTTTTTGAGAAGAACTCTTATAGTTTTATAAATAGAAATGATGTACTGTACTTTTGTCGAAAAAAATCTTGAAAGTAATTCAACTATTATCCTCCATTGATATTTAATACTCGTGATGTTTTAATAGATTATTATATGACAATAAACCAGTAGTAGCTCAAATAACTCGATGTAACGTCCAATGAACGTCTAAAATAAGAAAGTTTAAGAAAAATAAAAAAATACGTATTTCACTGTCATTTAGGTGTTTTAAAAAATTTGATAATTAACACAATAACGATTTAAGAAACCCCTTAAACGAATACATTTATTTGCGATTAAAAAGCCTTACCAATATCGAGTGATGAAAATTGACTAAATGTTTTCAAAATGGTTTACATTACCCTGTATTAATTATAAAAACCATTTTTTATTCAATTTTAAAACTATACTCATAATACCATTACGGTACCTTTAAAATATGTAATAATAATATTACGATTATTTATGGCTATATAGTATACTGTCTATTACATAACAGTACTTATTAGTACTCACTATAATATACTTGTATAATACGGGTAATATATGATATTCTTTCGGTATTACAACGAAATGTCACGCGATAATAATAAATTAGGGCACTTATTTTTAATGCGAAATACAATTTTATCATGACTGTGCTCTAAAATGTTTTTCTTCAATTATGGAATAGAATACCACGCGTTCATCCGTCAAACAATTATTAAAAACAACTAAACCTAAAAATTAAACTTTTATCTGACATTTCGTGAGAATTATTGTAAGTTGTAACGTGTATATTTTACGGTTATTTAAAATAATAATAAAAAAAAAATTTACTTTAGTATAAAGTATCATACACGCTGCCTATTTATTTTACCACGACCTGTGCCAGCCAAAACTCTGAAAAGTCCTATTCGGATTTTACACGTATAAGTCAATATTCCGCAGTCATCTCGCACTTGAAAAGATAATAAAAACAAAAAAAATCGTTGTGTCGGTCGTGTGTGTATCTCAGTGATTATGTCGCTCTTATAATTGCATTTTTCATATTTCACACAGCATCCACGATCGCCGACCCACATTACGATGATTTTCCTAAATGATAAAACCGCTAAAAAAAAAAACAGAAATGAGAGAGTGCCCTGTACGTACCTACTTACACGATTAAAAATCTATCGTCGTGTACAGTTTTTTTTAATACAACGGCGTACGCGCGGGGCGCGCCGATTGCAGTGGCGCAACTGCAGCGGCAAAAGCGCATCAACTGCTGCAGAGCAGGTGCACCGATGAAAGGAGCGCGTGCACCCGGTCGACGGTTTGCGGATCGCGCGAAGCGATTACACCGGCCGCGTTGCAGTGCGTCCGTCCACCGCCATCGGTCTTGGGCCGGTACGTCAGTGGCCCGTCGGCCGTGCGACAGTGGCAGGCCGTGCCCCCCTGGGACACTAGCATTGCGTGCGCGGCGCACGTGTCCCACGCGTACGTCGAGTCCTTGGTCAGCGCGTAGCACTTGACGACGCCCAACGCTGCGCACAGCATCTTGTAACCGGCCCCGGACGCCGTGGCCACGATGTAACCCGACCGCTGTAGCGCCGCCTTGGCCTCGTCAGTCTCGCTGTTGCTTGTCACCACCAACTCCTGTCGGACGTACAAAATTCAAATGTATTGTAATTAATGTTTTTTTTTTTTTTATTATTATTATTTATTTCGATTAAGGATTCAACTACTGAGGTCATTACC